CAGTATAATCCGGTGTTCCCACCATACAAACCAGGAGTCACCACTGGGCCACCCGGTCCCTCTACAGCACAATTCAGTCCCTTTTCAATGGAACTTGGTTCTATCCATGATGGACTCAAGGTACATTGAGAGGTATAAGAGACTAAGCTCATCTACTCTTATAGGGGCATCCTCTTTCAAACAGACCGATTATTGGTTAGTTGAGATAGAGAATGCCTTCATGACTCTTGGGGTGATATTTGTCATCTACATGTTCGTGGGAGAGGTAGGTTGCTGGTGGCAGTTGAAGCAGGCTACCCTATCCATTCCAGTCACTTAGGAATAACTCCTGATAGTCTTTAGTGCAGAGTACCTCCTAGAGTACATTCGTCATTTGAAGAAAATAAAGTTTGCACACTTAGTCCAAAGTGATATGACTGTGTCAGAGTATGCCCGAAGATTTCTAAAGTTAGGTCAGTGTTCCCCCGAGAGTATGATGGATGAAGGTAGAAAGATAAGGTAGTTCAAGTGGGGCCTCCGTCTCGAGATCAGACAACAGCTGTATGTGTTCCAACTCAGTACTTACTCAGCCATTCTGGCCAAGACACAACTAGTAAAGAAGAACCTTCGCATCTTCCTTCCAATAGTGAGAAATTTCAGACCCCCGGTTCTACACTGCAGACAAGCATTCACTGCACCGATCCACCAGAATAAGAGGCTAATGCTTGTGACTTAAGCTCCTCCTTAGGCTCCAGCAATAGGACGTGGTAGAACTTGTTAGCACTGTGGTAAAGATCATAGGGACTAACTCTGCTATCGCCTCAATAATACTTGTCATATATGTGGGAGTGTCCAACACTACGCGAGAGAGCGCTCGCAAAATCAGAATTAGGTCTAATCTATCATCCAGGACAGAGTTTACAACCTCACCTAGTAAAATTTTGAAGCCAACCCAGACGTGATACAAGAGAAACCTAAGAAAGAAGTTTGCATTCAAGAGATTTATGTAGTCCAAGAATTCTTGAAAATATTTCTTGATGAACTACCCGAATTGCCAGTGGATAGAGAAGTTAAATTCACTATAGATCTCCAGCCTAACACCCAGCCTATCTCAGTGCTCCTTACCGTATGAGTCATGTTGAGATGGAAGAGCTGAGAAAACAGATCAATGAATTGCAGGATAGTGGGTTCATCGGACATAATGTATATTCTTAGGGTGCTGGAGTCACGTTTGCGAAAAAATGGATAAGATCTTTAGATTATGTATTGACTACAGGAGATTGAACAAAGTTACAATCAATAACAAGTACTCCATCCCCAGAATTGATAAACTTTTTGACCAGTTACAGGGTGCATAGGTTTTCTCTAAGATAGACTTGTGTTCAGATTACCATCAGGTAAAGATCAGGGCAGAGAACATTTCCAAAACAGCTTTCAGAACTGGGTATGAACACTATAAATTCTTGATCATGCCTTTTGAACTAACCAATATATTAACCATTTTTACGGACTTGATAAATAGAGTTTTTAAAAAATTCATGGATTAGTTAGTTATTGTGTTTATTAATGATATCATAGTCTATTCAAAGAGCAGAGAGGAAAATGCTCATCACCTAACTCAATTTTTACAGGTTCTTAAGGAAAATAATTTGTCTACAAAATTAAGTAAATATGGATTCTAGCTCGAGCAGACTACTTTCATAGGGCACATAATATCAAAAGCAAGAGTGTCAGTGAATCCTGAGAAAGTTGAGGCAATACTCGTTTGGGAAAAATTGACTTCAGTTGAGGGGATTCATAGCTTTTTAGGAATGACAGGTTATTACCGTAGGTTTGTGAAAGAGTTTTCTAGCCTAGCCACTCCTTTGATATGATTTACAAAGAAAAACGTTAAGTTTGAGTGGAACGAGGATTGCGTAAGAAATTTTACAAAACTTAAGAAGCGGTTGACTACCGCACCTATTTTGACTCTATAAAGTGGGACGGGTGGATACACAATATATAATGATGCCTCATATGTGGGATTG